ATATTAACTAAATTTGGAACTGTTATTCACACTCCCAACGTGATAAAATAGGATGCAATGAGAGTAATTTACAAAACAATCATACTACAAGTACATAATTTTTTGACAGAGAAACTTTACAGACAATATATGGCGCAACATCATTGGAAGATGGGAAGAAAAAAGAAAACACTGTCCACTTATAATTTGCCATGTCAACATTTGTACAAGTTTTGTTAAAATTTTCCTATACTTGTAACTTTTTTTGTTTACAAAAAATCAGAGACTATAATCAAGCTAACTGTCTTTATGTTGTAGATTTCATTGTTGATTAAGTACATAATTTTCTGACTTACTGATGGTGTTCTGAGAAATGTAAAGCATGATTAGGTGTGAAGGTCAAATTTCAAACTTTACGAGCTTGGACGTAAAAAATTGTTTATTTATTTTTATATTATTTTAAACTTTTAATTATTCTAAAAATCTTTTAATAATTAAAACAATACACACCAAGGGCTTGTTTGGGCTCGATTTTTTGACTCAAAAAATTGATTTTTTGACCGTTATTTCACTATTTCAGTCATCATATTTGACTTCTTCTCTCACGAGTGAACCCCACTTTTCTTCTAACGGTCAAAAAATCAATTCTCAAAATCATTCTCAAACAGCCTCTTGAGCATTTAAAATTGCAAAACACTATTATTTACTTATAAATCCTACAATCAATCACTGATACAATTTTCAAAAGAAAAACTCCAAATTAGATCAAATAAAAGTTTCTAAAAAATATCAATAAGGCTTATCTAGACGCACATTAACCGATCAATTGTTAAATTTTGCGCTTAGCGTCAAGGTGAGGTTTTTGTCAGTATCTCACACCTAGGTGCGCTTTCTAGAACACCAAAATATCATTTTTAGCACATATAAATTCTCGATACTTTTGTAGCTCTATCCATTTCAAGAGCAGAGCATGCATGGAATGGTTTACAAGCACAAATAAGCACGTCAATCGTGCAGATAGTGTAGAGGTATAAAATTGATTCGGGTTGTCTAGGCCAGGAGGCGCCCAGCTTAGGTACGTATCTAACCTGACATTTTTCCAAGTAAATTGATACAGAACATGAGAACACTGCCTCACTGGACCAATATCTGAATACATACGTCCATGATAGAACGAGCTAAGAGCACAATTTGTTCCTAAAGTAAATAAATTTTAATTTCTTCAAAAAAAGAAATTGGAATTCTATACGTACAATAAGGACTCGATCAATCTTAGCCCTTGTTAGAACCTGATTCTTTTCATAAAAATATATTTTTGAATAGTGTAATGATACAAAATGTATATTTAAAAATAAGAAAAAATTTAGAATTTACGTTTAATATTATTTTATTGAAAAATATGTGGTTAAAATATTATCAAATCACAGTTTAAAAATGTATTTTTTTTTTTTTTTTAAAGAATGAGGCTCAAACATGGCCTTATCGCGTCGCATTCTGTCGTATAAGCATGTGATCCTTTTAATCTAGGATAGACCACGTTCCTTCAAAATGAAAGGAAAACCAAGAACTTGGAAGAAAAGCAATAACTTGGCTGGATGGCGTGGTTTTATGTTTTTCCAACACCAATCACAGATGCAATGGGAGAAGATTTTCTCCTGTCCTTTGATTTTTCATCAACTTCGAGATTTTTAAATCCCGGTGGGCAAACCCTAAAATCCACCCATCTTCTGAAAGCCCTCCAGGCCAGTCTCTGTCTCAAAATCTCTTCCTAACAAAATAGCCACTTCAAATCCACCATCTAAAATTGCTCTGCCCACAGCGGCGAACAGAAGGGGGTAGCGTTGGGGATCATTCACCTAAAACAAAAACAGAAACCCACTTGCATGAGTGGGGCCCCGCAGTTATTTTAATCGCATGGCCCACCCGTGTAATGTGAGAGGACCGTCAAAGGTGTAAAAAATACTGTACACCTAGCATGCTTCAAACAAAAGATAGGGTGTTCAAAACAAAAAAACGCCTGACAATCAAATGGATTCAAGATAAGTAGCAACGGTACCTAGTAACTAACAGCAAAAATTCGATAACTTTTTCATATGAGATCATCACTTGAATTACCGTAATTCATCAATGATTAGTAGACAATAATAATCAGGAAGGAATCAGGAATCAATCCACGGGCAGATAGTGTCAACCGAAAATAGAAATCTATAGCTTCAAATGCCTATACTGCCATTTGGAAACCACAAAGCGCAATCAAAGTTTACAAGAATTTTGATGGGTTATATGTTCGAAGCTACACATTCAGTTTGCTAATAAACATGAAATATTTAACACATGAAGTTCAGAAAGATAAGCTGAAAGCGAAACAGAATTGTCAAAAAAACCCAAGATTTTTTTCTAGACAATAACCTCACTTATTTGTTCCATTCTCTGGACTCAAGTCTTCATACGAGACTAATCCCCTTCGACCACCAGGGGTACTGGATCTGGAACTGCCAGGAGAAACAGATGCCTTCTTTCCTGGACGCTTTTTTGAAGATTCAGACGCAGATGAACCACGGCTCCTAGAGCGTGAAAGAGATCTATCTCTATTTCGAGGGATTTGGTCATTCACTTTCGGCCCAAGACGAGATTTTAGTCTGCCACTAATTGCAGCTGTGGGGCTAGGACTTCGCACAGGGCTCCTACTACAAAGTTTTCTCCGGGCACGGTAAGGGCCAGGGCTTCGGGAACGACTCCTACTAGGACTTCTTTTTCGCTCATATCTAAGACAAAATATAAATCAATATCGCTTGTATGATTGCAAAAAAGTATAGTCAAATTAGAAAAAGATACATGGCAGAAGAAAGTTGGGCCATTCTTAGAAAAGATGAAGTTAGCCTTTTGTTTTCAAAGCATTTTTGGATTACTTCTTTAAAGTAAAAAAAATATCACTCTTTAACTTAGCGTCAGAATAATATTCAACTTTGACCTTTTAAAATTTATAAATTTTAAAACTTAATTACTTGTAAGTAAACATTTTAAGCTTACCCAAAGATGCTGACAATCATACGCAAACAAATTGATGAGATCAGGAGTTATGCACTGAAGTTTCAATGGTCCAAAATACACAAGCATACAGGGAAATAAAAGTGCATTCTACCCCTCAGAATTTTGAATGCGCAAACACCAGCACGTTCAGGAGAGACAAACAGGCGCGCACACACTCAGATATATGTGTACAGAGAGAGAGAGAGACCTGGGTGGACTCCTGTCTCTTCTTGGCGAGCTTCTGTATCGTCTTTGTGGTGAACGCTGGAACTTATCTCTGTAGCTTGAATACCTAAGAAGTCACAATTAGCAAACCATTCTTTACGTCATTTCTATTCTGATACAGATCGCAGTAATTGGTTTGTAGACAATGATTTTTGCTCATGCTGAGCGTCCTAATTCCGACAAACCCCCTCCCTGTTAGGCAACTGGTTTATAGAATAACATTGACCAAAAAAATCAGGAGGGAGTCGAGATTTTTAAGCCCAGACCTCTATATATTTCCTGTGTCTTGAACAGAGAGGAACACAATGAAAAGGAAGTTATGCCAGGTAACATGGAAATTGACATAATTTACCAAGCAGTCAGATGACAATGCTTTCTGACCAGAAAAGGGGGTCAATTTTATGAAGAAGAAGAAGATTCAAACAGTCAGAATACAAACTGGAGCGATACCAACTGGTGGCAAAGAGAGACAAATGTCATTAGCAAAAATACTCAGAAGTTTCAAATGAAACTCTTGCCTGGAGCAAATATTAGCACTGAAAGGAACAAGAGAGCTCAACTTGAAGTTCCAAAAATTTGGTCGTCATTAATTTCAAATGATGGGTGATTGGGAATGTGTAACACCAGTGGCTCGTGGACGTGAAACAAAAGGTTTAGATGGGGGTAGACAAAATAGGGAACAAAAGATGCAAATTTACACCGCTGTCTTGCTACTCTGGTTTCCCTATTCAAAAGTGGCAGTTAGAAGAATTGTTTTGACATCCTCTAAATTTTCATCAGCTCGTAAAATCTAGCAGACACTGTTGTACAATATTCTAAGCGAGAGCTGCTAACCGAGGGCACATATTTAGCAAATGACCCATTACAAACCACCCTTTGGATCAGTTGAGGAAGTACCTGTCGTTCCTTTGAATGTTTCTTCCACCATATGGATAAGATCTATCCATTGAACGCTCTGGAGATGGTGTGCGATAGCGTCTAACAAAGGCATACCGTTCAGTAAAGCCTCGCCCTTTCCTAACACGCTTTGGAGTTCCATTCAGAGAGCGGCTTCTAGACAAATCCCGACCACAACTAGAAGTGGATGGTGGTGGAGCTTTATGGGCAGGACTCCTTGAAGGACTTTTACTGCTTGGCTGACCATACGATCTAGAAATTTTACTGTTGTTTTCAAATCTGGGAATCGTTCTCTCTGGACTTCTGCTTGGGGTGCTTCGATGACCGGACATTGGCCTCCCTCTAGGACTCTGTGTCAGCCTCCTGTTACTCAGAAATGTCACATGATGATATACAACAGCAAAAATACGGATGCTCAGATATTAATTAATAAGCATGAAATAAAGAAGTGAAATTAGGGTGTACGTCATTTATAAGCAGAATAGGTTGGAAATGAAAATGATATGTAAACCAACTACAGGAGCAGATGTAAGAGCAAAAAGCATTAAATAGTGAAACCTGGATCTGCTAAAATTGACAAATCGATCAATATGGTTGGCAGCTTCATTTTCATGACCATTTTTCAGAACATCATCATTCTTCGGAGAAAATTCACCCTCTTCATGAGATGAGCTGCCATCTGTCTGCTTCAGTTCATCATCCTTTTTCTGCTCTGTGACAACTTGTCCTAACAGAGGGGTTGGTGATTTCTTCTCTGACCCTGTAAATTTCCAGTTATGAGATGGTAAGGGTAAAATAAATTGGTCACTTCTTGAAATTATCCAAGTTGAAAAAGTAACGATGATGACAACGGAGACTATTGGAGAGACTCTAGGAAGATAGATACCAAGACTTTGTGCTAGCTTCTTCATTTCTAGGTGTGATATGTTACTTTTACGTGCAGATTTGTCGTTAGTGGCATTTTCATCGTCAGAGCTGCTGCTGCTGGTCCTACTCCCACTGCCAGTTTCACTAGAACTTTCCGAGTTTCTGAGTAAAAATTTTGAGAAATACAGACAAGTTCAGAACGTAGTTTTTAATAAACAGATTGTTTAATGATGACACTTCTTCTATGACAGAGTCTTGTTTCCCTCATCAAGGACATCCACAGATTACCCAAAAATTGAAAATATTCTAGACCTCCAAAACCATTTACATTGCATGCCTTTTGTCTTAATCTAGTGGGCGAAAACAAAATGTCATAATCCAAGACATGGAAGACATTTGTGAGATACATGCTTCATCGGTATAACGACAACAAAAGGGGGAAGCAAGACTCTTAAAATGGGACAGGAGGAACATATAGTACTTCGTTGAAAATAAAAAAAGAAACACGAGTTAAAAACCTTTTGGACTTCCGCCTTGATTTTTTATCATGTTTAACTTTCCTCCTATCCTTTCGTCCAACCTTTTTCTTCACATGTTGATGTCTACCTCTCTTGGTCAACTTCCTTTTTTTCCTCCGTCTCCCATCACTTGAAGAACTTGAAGAATGAGACTCTGATTCAGAATCTGATTCAGACTCCGAATCAGTATCTGTCTCAGATGAAGCGGAATCAGAATCTGTATCAGAGCTGTATGAATCAGATGAAGAGTATCTCTTTCTTCTCTCTTTCCTCCTTTCCTTACGAGATGCATGGCGTTTCCCTTTTGCTTCACTGTCAGAACTATCATCGGATGAAAGAGCTTTTGTTGGTGTTTTCTTTTTTCCTGAAGGCACCGTGAGCAAAAATATCAAAAAGAAAGGAAAGATGTTACAGCAGTAATAAGACAACGCTTGCCATCTCTGTGTTACAATACTACCTTTCCCTGCTCCAACAGAATCATGCATTTTACTCACAGGTGTCTCGCCACAGTCCACAATTTTCACCAACCCCAATGGTTTACCATCAGCAGTTCCTACCTGTTCAATTTTTTTAACAACATCCATTCCCTTCAAAACCTTTCCAAAAACAACATGTTTTCTGCCACGAAAGGAAATATCAGAAATTCAATTGCAAACACTACCCAAGTTTAGTTGTCCGAGACCCCTAAAAGGAATAAATGTTGGGGACTTGAGGACATTATGAGACGGGTAAATAAGAACAAAATCAAATACCCATCAAGATGTGGTTGACGCTTAAAAGTTATGAAGAACTGGGAACCATTTGTGTTTGGACCACCATTTGCCATAGAGAGAAAACCAGGCCTACTGTGATCCAGCTTGAAGTTTTCATCTGTGAAATCAAAGGAAAAATTTGAAGCAGTCTCAAAAGTGAGCCATACTATAGGAAAAATAAGCTCAAACAAGCATAAAAGCCTACCAGCAAACTTCCCTCCATAGATACTTTCTCCACCAGTGCCTGCAAACCATTGAAAGGTCGTGCTTTACAAGTCTGGGCATGAAGCCTGAAGTCATATCGAGCATCTGCATCAATTGAAAGTACAAGATCCAGAGAAAAAAGCATACCATTTCCTTTTGAAAAGTCACCACCCTGCACAAAAAATGTAGTACATGAAACAACCGTTTACAAAATACAATTTGTGTGTGTTCATGTCTTTATATGGTTGGTTGAAGTATTGAAAAAAACTAAATAGCAAAAAAAAGACAAAGAAACCAATTTCTTCCAGTGCCAATTAATTTTCTCGTCTTACGCAAATAAATTATTGAAAGTTGATACCTCAACGATTGTCATCAATGAAAAATAATCCAGAAACTTGATATCTCAACAAAAATACAATTAGGACATAAAGACTACAAAAAACTGGGTACAAGTACCAGATTTAAATAAGAAACATCTCAGAAGCATGTCCACACATACAGGACATAGACACAGCAACAACAGGCATGAGGAAAAAAGACATGATGGAAAATGGAGGAGCTAATGCATAATTTTCCAAAAAGCAAGATTCAATATGTCTTAGGAGCATGTTTATTATAAATTTGATATCCTATAATGTACAAGTCTTAAAACCTGTTTGTACCTTGAGAAACAGGCAAGAAGGACGCACGGATATTGATATATGAAAAATTAATTAGGTCACTGGATGTTAAAGAAGGCAAAAAGAAAAGTTAAAGCAGTTTAATTGACCACATTAAACCATTAAGCATGCAGCAATAGAGGTATTGTAAGCCTTCCATTATCATTCTCTTTACAATTCTTTTTTTCCGTACGCAGAATAGATCTTTATCCTCTTCATATCCTCCTATAGTGCAAATTTCGATATCATATTCCAACCCAGTTTTTATTAAAATATAACATTTTTATGTCTCGTGTTCTTGAGTGTGTCTAAACATGTCCTTAAGTGTATCGCTGCATCCAGAATGGAATGCACAAATACTGCAGACAATTAATGGCACCTAATTTTGAGTCGAATTGTCATTAGCATTGCACTTTCATGTTTCCAAAACTAAAAATTTCAAAGGCCAGGGCATGACCATCTTCAACGTACGATGAACATAGATAATCCAGTCCAGAGGGTGTCCATGATTTCTAGTCTACGACATGGCAAAGTGAATTTCTTGAAGGCCACAATTGCTGAATTCACTAACGGTGACCAAGCACACTGGAGAGCAAACATGTGTGTCATCTTTGAACGGCATGAACCTTCTCCTTCTCCACTCCCACCCCAATCCGAACCATCGCTCAATGTCTACATCTCATCAACACTCTTTCAATTAAAAACACCACCATCCTGAAGCAGGCATGAAATTCCCTTCCATTCATGCTCTCACGAGTGATTAAACACACTTTCTCCACCTCTCTCAAAATCTTGATTCAAATCCTAGAACCACCATCCTTTTTCAAAACTTCCTGTCACATTACCAATGAATCATCACTTCCCTGTAAAGAAAGCACCTTCCCTTCTCATTCATCTAAGCTTTAAACTATCAAGACATTCCCCCAGTGCCCTAGTTTCTATTTAAATGACTTGAAAGAGCAACCACCGACTACTGTCACTGCAGCATATTGCTATCCTATACGACCACAGGAAATCATGTTTTCTTGAGAAAATTTTCAAAGTTCTGCTTATGCCAACCAATCAGCTTCTACTTCCACAACAGTTCAACTACGAAGATATAGGACATATGCACCAATTGTGGCGTCCTCATTTAAAATGAGAAACATTTGGATATGGGAACTGAGAAGCAAGC